TGATATTTGTATATCTCTAGTGTAAAGCTTCGCCTTATCAAGTAAATTTTCCGACTAGGTCATCCGGACTCCTAAACAACGTAAGCGGCCAACTTCGATATTATGTGAAGCAGCACGGTCTATAAACAAAACAAACCAGACACGTGATCGCAGTCTGCTGGAACTGTCCAGATTTGGGAGGTGTAAACAATGCCGATCTTTTGGAGGAGGTAAGCCATTTTGTTCACTTTTGTGAGAAATTTTGGAAGAGCAGCAAGGAGGCAGGGAAAAGAAACAAACCCACTTTGTTTTATTTAGTAAAAGAGTGTGTATTTTTTTTACTCAATACACCGTATCCGTAGGAAGATGCAGATATTCTCCTTATTTTTTCAGGTAAGTGATAAACTCTGGGCTTGTCGGTAAATAGCATATGAGAACTATTTCTAAACAACAAATACCCGGCCCCCGTGATAAGTGATAAACTCTGAGAAAGTTAGCAGATAGCATATGAGAACTACCTCTAAATAACAACTGCCGAGTTACGGAGCTTAAGGACTACTTCCCTGACTGTTTTAACCTTTACAGATGCTAGTTTTTTAAAAATTTTGGATTTTTTTTGTGGTAAAAATGATCATCCAAAAATAACTAGAATTTATTATAAGCAAATATTATTTGTAATTTATATGTTTTCTTTTTCTTATATTTCTTTGTTTTTTCTTTTTCCCTTGTTTTTTTTGTCGTATTCGTTTTCTTTGTGTTTTTATTGTTTTATTTCCCCCATTTATTTTGCCTCTTTGAAGAAGGAAAAATGTTAAGAAAAAGGCAATCTTGACAAAGCTAGCAGTAAGCTTATAGTGATTCTTTTGGGGAGCCATCTAGCAAGTTAGATGCTGGAGATAAATGAATTATTGTTGCGGCAGATCGCACTTGGGCACCATTACGAGCAGCTGAGTGAGTCTTTATTGAAGAGTAGGAAGGTGGAGAACATTGAGTTTATTGCAGGCTTTTTGTTTCGAAACTATGTATTTAGATTACACACTTCTAATACAATAAAGGCAAAATTGCCAAAGGTTAAAAAAAAAAAAATTCTAGTTATTTTTTTATTTTTATTTTAAAATTATAAATACAGTATAATATTTTTAGTATTGCAAAAAAATTTTAATATAAACTATATTAATATTACAGTATTACCGGTATTAATAGTTAATTTTTTAAAATAAGCTATAATTTTTTGCATATCGATACGTATCAAAAATAATTATTTATATTAATATGGAAATGTAACATTACTCTATCACGTGTATTTGTTTTGAATAAGTAGTTTTAAGTACACGCAGTATAAAAGGACAACATCGTTCAGACCTTTGATTGACAATACGTTAGTCAGTTTTGAAAATAAATCTCCAACAAGGCTTTCGTGATAAAAGATTTTTTCAGTATAAGACATGGCTCTGGATCGTGGTACGCCTGAAGGTGTAGAGGCCTGGCTTATAGAAATGTCGGCAAAACCTTGGTCGTTTCCCACAGCGGTCGGCCCAGAACTCTCGCAAGAAATATTACAACACATTTGTAATCGCTGGGACACCTACACACCTAATCTTAAACTAGGAGTTTTGTTTGCTATACTGAGCATTAGAAAACTATTGGTGAGCCAGATGAAGGATGAGTTATCAGCGGTAAGTAAAAATGAAGCTTTGGGTCTGAACGCCGATCTGATCGTGGTGGATTTGGGCTTTTACGTGTCCATTTTTTAATATGGTTGATTTCTAAAAAAAAATTGAATTTATTAAATAATAAAGCCATAATGAAACTAGAGAGAACATACAAAAGTAAAATAAATACGGTTCTAACTTTATTTTGGTCAACAATAAATGTTTATCATATAACAGCATGTCTTTCATATTCTTTTGAGATATGCGTCACTTCTGTCAACCTAGAAGTCGTAATATCACAATGTATTTATTAGATAGATGATTTTTTGTGCGGAAATCATACAGGACATTAAATAAATTATTTATAATGCATCGTAATGCTTCGTCCATGCATGACAGATCTATTGATAGAGAATGCGCTGCAAAAATTGTTATAGATGCTTTCTCTGTCCAGTGCAGAGAAGCAATAAACTATCGGTTTTAAGCTCTGTTTATGATTACTTACTTTTATGTATAACTTTTATCTAGATAATCGAAAAAGGCACTCGAGAAAAAGAAGATGAATGGGTTATTTTAATATCAAAAATGTTGCGGGAGTATCCAAGCACTACAGCACTTGATTTGAATATAGAACGACACATCCCGACGGCTGCTCAGAATGGACTTCAGAATTTAATGAATAAGAGTAAATTTCTTCATTTTTATTAATGATTATCAATATTCATTGATTTTTTAACGAAAAAAAAATTTTTTTCTTAATTATAGTACGGCAAAATGGAATCAAATTCCATCCGGTTGAATATGCATTCATTGATCGCGATATTTGCGATTCTTTTTCTACGCTCTCAGTAAACTCTTCTGTTACATCAACACATTTTGTTTTGCGAGATTCAACTGCTGCAAATTCTGCGAATCAAATACGTACAACGATTCTAAATAATATGTCTGTGCCACCTTCTCCAAGTTTGACCTCACCAGTAAATGTATCAGGATTCAATTTTCCGCCAGTTGGTCAATCTCAAAATCAGGCTTTACATGGCCCTCCAAGCCGTTCCAACTCAGTTTCTTCCGGACAATCCCTTTTTATTCCTTCAAAGCGCCGGCCTTCGCAGTTAACACAACCCTACTCTAAAGGTATAAATCCTCCAAAACCAGGTCCAATTAATACAAGCAGAGGTACGCTAAAATGATGGGACTAATATACCTATTTTGTTCTTACTTGGTGCTTTTATTTACTGATATCAGCAGGGTCCTTACCTGGTGCAGGAACATCTTCGCAAAGTTCAGAATCACCTACCGAACAAAAGATCACCATTACCCAAGGTAAAAAATATCAGAAACCGTCAAGAATTCAAATGATTGATATATCAACTGGGTCGAAAATTATCAAGGATCAGGAGGAAACAAAGCGGCAGACACAATTAGGTACGCATATATCCCACCGTTATTTCTTTTATTAAGTGGCTTATTTGATTTATCTTTTATACATTTGACTGGAATATTATCAGTGTTGCCAATTTTTGATAATGTGTACATTGCTTTCTGTTGTATGATGTCGGTCAGAGGAACAACAATCGAAGGAAGCGCGACGGCTTGAAAGAGAAAAAAAACAGGAAGAAAAACGACGTGAAGAGGAAGAGAAGAAACAACAAAAAGAACAAGAAAAGGCCGAGAGGGCCGAAAAGCTGCGGTTAAAAGAAGAAGCTAAAAGAAAAAGAAGTGAAAAAACCGAAAAGAAGACTACTACGAAGACTACCACCGCGACCGAAACTGAAACTACGGATGCACCAGTTAATAATTATCCATGCAAGTATAAAGATATCATATACTAAGTTGTTTGTTCAATAAGTTATAATTACCAACTAAATTTATTAAATAATCAACTTTTATGTTTGCAGTGACACGAAAAAAGAAGAGATTAAATAGTAAAGTATTAATTCTTATAAAAAAAAATTAGTGATTATAACTCTGTATTCAATGTGCATCATTGAATATTGTCAACATGATGTACTTGCAAAACAGATTCTCATTATTTGTTGTAGCCATTTAGAGCGCATTTACTCATAATCATCGAAATTTATTGTTGAATTATAGATGATGAAGTCGTTGATGAGGAAGCAGTTTCTGATGGAGAGATGTCTCATAAAAATCCACAAACGATTGTCGCATCTCCCACTTCTTTATCGCCACCAGCGAATCAATTTAATGATCAAAATATCGATAGCTCAACGACTAACAACAACTTTGTACCTGAGACTTCAACCGTAGCGGAACCACTAAGCCAACCGATGACATCTGATGTAACTCCTTCAGGTAAATTTTTGCATATTTTTAATAAAAGCCTTAATAATATGAATAATCATTAAAACTTTCAATTTTTTGCGTTACAACAACCAGCGCAACCGTTACCAGCTTCTCAGCAGTTTGAAGAACAACCTAGGCGAAATATGTCTCCTTCCGAAAGACTTCTCTTCGAACGGAATTGTGTCGCAGTATTGACTGAAGCAAATAAAGTTAATGATAATGCTGATTTAAGACAGATAATCATTAATTTTTTAGGCGGCGTTCATGGTAATTATAACTATCTAGAATCACAAATGTCGCATACTTTAATAATGTAAAGACATAATTTCTAACTACCGTGATTTATGTTATTTTATTCCAAGTAGAGACAAACCAACTCAAAGCTGCTTCTGTTGGTATTCATAACTCAGACGATCATGTGCGCCAAATAATTTTGCATGAAGAGACTGCCCGAAACCATGATGGCAAAGCAACCACAGAAACTTTAATCTTTGAAATTAATTTGACCAACGGACAGTGGAGAAAACTCAAGAGAAAGAAGGTGAAGGGTCTTAGAAGTCAGACAAACGATGGCTCAAGCAGTAGGATGAACGGAAGACAGCAAAATGGCGAAACTTGAAAAAGTATAGAAAATAAAAATTTATTTCAATAGGCTAGAAAGTTGTTAAGACATATTTGTAACTAAACAGTGTAAATTTTGTCCAATATATACACATAATAATACTGTAAAGCTTGTTAAGATACTTATGATCTAGCTCATTAATGAAATCTATGAATATCGTCAATTGTAATGCTTTAAACTTTATCGAGCAAATTGAAATATTATGTTAGCAAAATCAAGCATTATGGTTAGTGTAATTATGATTAGTAAACAAATTACATGGTAAGGTTAAATCAATTTATCAATATAGTTCAAATTACTTTTTTTTTTTGATGATAGATTTATTAAACATAAGCTATTTATGTAAGGAAAGAGTTAATACATATATTATAAATCAATTATACAAGAGAACTTATTTTTACAGTTTTTATTATTTTAATTTCTCACAATAAGTGTATTATGTCAAAGTATTATACATATGTCGTTTTTATTATTGAAAACTATCGATATAAAAAAGCACATATAAATAATAACCGTTGTAATAAATCAAAGTTTCTCTTGTCGAGGGGAATCTAATCGGCAAGAAAAAATTTATAAGCAATTCTACTAATGGTAAAGAACTAATGAGAAATAGATTAATTATATTACCAGGATCAAAGGAGCCAAACTTTCTAAGTGTTTGAATATTCGAAGGAATATTAGGGCCTGGTGGTCGGATGGTAGTTGTTAAAACACTGGCTTCCGACACAGTACCTCCATTAGTACCTGATATTCCGGATACTAGAGATCCCGTAAGACCTGATCTAGCCACAGGCGTGCTAACAACATTTCGAACAGATGGTTCATCACCTCGCCTTTCCATCAACAAATAATACATTTGCATTCTTAAACTATGACATATATTCTTAAGATTCTGTATTTCCTCTTGTGTTCTCAAGCTTTCTGTCATCAGAGCAACATTTAAAGTTTCAATATCATTTTTAAAATGTTCATTTTCCGATAGTAGTAATTCATGCGTTGTTAAAAGAGGCGGTGGCCCTTCAGAGGTCATTACTGAATCTTCTGGATTTAGAAAGTGAGAAGGAAACATAGATGCCAACCAATCGGATACACTAGATAATTGATTTTGTAAAGATGTAACCATCTTATTGAGCTCTTGAACTGTTATCCGAAGTTGTTTATTGTCTTGTTCAAGAATTTCATTACGCTGTTTGTAGATGACGAAAAAATCTTTCAAGGGTTCATATGGACAAGACGGGATATGAACTTTCAATAAATCGCGTTGACGACCAGTCCAGGAACAACCATATTCGGCATGAAGACATGTGGAAGGCCTCTCAGGACATTCTTCAAGATGCATATCATTAGCTGACTGAGGAATTGTATAACAGTAGGGGCACTCGATATGCTTCATTGGACAAGAGTCACAATGCCCCTTTTAAAACATTTCAAGCTTTAGCTGTCTAAATAATTAGACAATAAAAAAGTAACACTGTCAAATACAACAATGCATTAATAAATATCATCATTATTTAGCTTACCTCTAAGGTACCTAACTGAACTTTACATTTACATATTTCGCGGTCGATAACTTTTGTTCGACATTTCTCCATATGTTTTGTTAGGTCTTTTTTAAATACGGCTTCTTGACACTCCTCATTACAACATTCTACAATAGTGTACATACATCCTTCTTTAAGATGACAACTTAACAGTTGACGTTGGCCTTGATAATCACAGCCAAGATCTTTGTTTAGGCAATAAACTAATAATTCGTTAACCATATTGGATATTATCTTGGAAGCAGGTTTAAGATCACTGACATCAGAAAGTCTGGAACGGTCAACTGGACAAGTTGGTCTTGATGTTATGGCTTGGCTTATACAAGACCTACAAAAAGTGTGTCTAAAATAGAGGATTTCATCAGCACATTTTAGCATTTAATGTACGTTAAGGAAACCACCAATTAGTTACCCGCATGACTCTATAACTACCGGATCAACGAAGGGAGTCTGACAAATGCAACAAATAAGATTCGAGTTGACAGCCTCAACGTAAATCAGAGAACGCAAATCTAACGCTTCCATAACAATATATCGATATTATTTCTGTTCCAAAAAAAAAAAGCGGAGAATTTAAAAACTGGACTTAGTCTCGGCTTGTATTTATGGGATTTTCAATAAGCATATTACTGTTACCCAAATTTTTTACTGGACCGTTATTCATTATCTAGATAATTGTAGGTATATCGATATTCGTATTCTTCACGATATGACCACTCCTCGGAGGCGTCGTAAAATACGTAATCCAACGCTAAAAGTTTCACGAAGAAACGCGAATAAACATTTCAAAAAAACTCGCATCAAAGTACGGTAGCAAAACTTTTTTATTTTTTAATATCATAGTATTTTAAGGCTAACTGGTCAATTATTTCAGAATGATTCTATTATTTCAGCTAACTGGGACAAAAAGGCCACTCTCCGTCAAAAGCATGTATACACATATATTATAAACTTTGATTACCAGGCAGTGTATTGAAATTGATTCCGATGAATTAATTTATTATTGCCAGTTATCAACGCATGGGTCTTATGGTGTCTTTAAATGGCGTTGCAGGAGGCGTTGAGAAATTGCACAATGATGAACCTAATCCACTAAACATTGAAGAGCTGAAGAAGACTTTGGGACCAGATCAAGGTATTATTGAGCGTGACGACCAGGGGAATGTGATCAACGTTATTATTGGTAAGGAGAAAGATGAAAAAGTTGTCACAAAAGTTCATCCAGCACTCGCGAAGACGGATATTGTAAGAGGTTTGTATATAATTTTCATTTTCTCTTAGAAATGTTCACAAAAG